GCTAATATCCCTGATGAATACAGATGCAAAAATTCTCAATAAAATATTAGCAAACTGAATTTAGCTCACGTTAAATGATCAGACACCACAATCAAGTGAGGTTATCCCTGGGATGCAAGCACGGTGCAGTGGACACAAATCAATAGGCGTGATGTTAGTAGACCTAACCTCTACATTAGTGTCTTCACGTTCGTAGAGTGAAAGGTAAAGATCGTGTGATCATCTCAATAGATGCAGAAAAAGCATTTAACAAAATACAACATCCTCTCATGAAAAACCTCTCAACAAATTGGGTATAGAAAGGAATGTACCTCAACGTAATAAAGGTCATATATGACAAGCCAACAGCTAACATCATACTCAATGGTGAAAGATTGAAAGCTTTCAATGTAAGATCAGAAACGAGACAGGGTGCCCACTGTCATCACTCCTATTCAACATAGTCCTGGAAGTCCTGGCCAGAGGGATCAGACAAAAAAAGGAAATAAAAAGTGTCCAAATCAGAAAGGGCAAAGTAAAATTGTCTTTGTTTGCAGCTGATGTGATCTTATAGGTAGAAAATCCTAAAAATTTTAAAACCACCAAAAAAATGTTATAACAAATCAACAAATTCAGTAAAGTAGAAGGAACCAAAATCAACATACAAAAATCAGTTGTGTTTCTATATACTAACAACGAAATTGCTGAAAAAGAAATGAAGAAGATCTCATTCACAACAGCATCATAAAAAATAAAATACTTAGGAATAAACTTACCTAAGGAGGTAAAAGATCTGTACACTAAAAATTATAAGACTTTGGTGAAAGAAATTGAAGAAGACATAAAGAAATGGAAAGATATCCTCTGTTCCTAGGTCAGAAGAATTAATATTGTTAAAATGCCCATACTACCCAAAGCCATCTATAGATTCAGTGCAATCCTTATCAAAATTCCAATGGCATTTTTCACATAAGTAGTAAAAACAATCATAAAATTCATATGGAACCACAAAAGACCTTGAAGAGCCAAAGCAATCCTGAGAAAGAAGAACAAAGCTGGAGGCATCACATTTCCTAATTTCAACCTACATTACAAAGTAGTAATCAAAACAATATGGCATAAAAATAGACACATGAAACAATGGAACACAATCAAGAGCCCAGAAATAAACCTTAGCATATGCTGTCAACTAATGTTTGACCAGAGAGCCAGAATACTCAATGGGGAAAGGATAGTCTCTTCGATAAATAGTGTTGAGGAAACTGAATCATCACATGCGGAAGAATGAAATTGGAGCCCTATCTTACACCACACACAAATATTAACTTGAAATGGATCAAAGGCTTAAATGTAAGAGCTGAAACTGTAAAACTCCTAAAAGAACACATAGGCAGTAAGCCCCTTGACACTGGTCTTGGCAATGATTTCCTGGATATGACACCAAAGCACATGCAACAAAAGCAGAAATAAATAAATGGGACTACATCAAACTAAAAAGCTCTGCACAGCAAAGGAAACAACAAAACGATAAGGCAACCTGTGAAATGGGAGAAAATATTTGCAAATTATATAGCTGATAAGGAGTCAATATCCAAAAAATATAAAGAAGTCATACAACTCAATAGCAAAAACAAACAATTCATTAAAAAATGGGGAGAGGAACTAAATAGACATTTTTCCAAAGAAGACATAAAAATGAGCAGGAGATACATGAAAAGATGCTCAAGATCACTAATCAGGGAAATGAAAACTAAAACCTCAATGAGATATCGCTCCACACTTGTTAGGATGACTATTACCAAAAAGATAAGAAATAAGTCTTGGCGAGGATGTGGAGAAAAGGGAACCCTTATGCACTGCTGATGGGAATATAAATTGGTGCAGCCACTACAGAAAATAGTGTGGAAGTTCCTCAAAAAATTAAAAATAGAACTACTGTGTAATCCAGCAATTCCACTTCTGGCTATAGGTCCAAAGGAAATGAAATCAAGATCTTGAAGAGATATCTGCACCCCCATATTCACTGCAGCATTATTCACAACAGCCAAGACATGGAAACAACCTAAGCATCCGTCTATGGACGAATGGATAAAGAAGATGTGGTCTGTATTCACAATGGAATATTATTCAGCCGTGAGAAAGAAAGAAGTCTCGTCATCTGCAACAACATGGATGGACTTTGGAGGCATTATGCTAAGTGAGATATGTCAAACAGAGAAAGGCAAACACTGTATGATCCCATTTATGTGTGGAATCTAAAAAAGCCAAGCTCATGAAAACAGAGACTAGAATGGTGGTTGCCAGGGGCTGGGGGCGAGGATATGGGGAGATGTTGGTCAAAGGGGACAAACTTCCAGTTATAAGTTGCATAAATTCTGGCGATCTAACCTACAGCAATGTGACTGTAGTTCATAACACAGTGTGATATACTTGAAAGTTGCTAGGAGTCGATCTTAAACGTTCTCATCACACACACAAAGGTCATTGAAGTGACAGAGGTGTTAACTAATCCTACTGTGGGAATCATTTCATAATATAGAAGTATATCAAGTCATTATGTTTTATACCTTAAACTCACACGATGTTATATGTCAATTATATTGCAATAAAACTGGAAAAATATAAGATAAATAAAAAATGATTTACAATTCAAAAAAAAATGAGACTGACTTTTACACAAATATACTATACTGGGTTTAGTAGTGTCCCCTAAAATTCATGCCCACCTGGAACCTTAGAATGTGATCCTATTTGGAAGTAGGGAATTTGCAGATGTAATCAAATGACGATGAGGTCATCCTAGATTAGGGCGGGCCCTAATCCAGTGAGCGTAGGCAGGAAATGTGGACATAGGCCAAGAGGAGGAGGCCTGAGGTCGGAGGGATGCATCCACAAGCCCAGGGACACGAGGACCGCCAGCTCCAGGCTCTAGTTGAGAAGCGTGGAGCGGGTTCTCCTCAGAACCTCCAGGAGCAGCCAGCCCTGCCCACACCTTGTTCTGACTATCTAGCCTCTGGCTCTGACTGTGAGAGAATGCACGTCTTGTTTTACACCCCCTCGTGTGTGGCAATTGTTAAGGCACACAGAGGAGACCAACAAACCAACCCCAGACCTCTTCCTATCGGTCAAGGGAGCCCGGGTTCGCTGCAGTAACAAAAGGTCCTCCCCCCATTCTTATGGTCTTATGACAACAAGGGTATGCTCCTCACTCCCCCGCGTGCCCATCACAGATTAGCTGCCCCTCCGCACCATGTCTCCTTCGTCAGGGACCCTGCAGACTGCAGCCTCTGTCTGGAATAGTGACTATCTGGTCTGTGGCTAAGGAACAGAGAGTCCAAGAATTCAAAGATTTGTGGGATTAGAATTGATTCTCATTTCCAATCAGTAAACCATAAAATTAAGTGACAAAGTTCTGATCAACTCAGTCCTGGGCAGGGAACAAATCAAGAGCATGGCCACGGTGCTTTCGTTAAATCCTCCGCATCAGTTAAGGTGGCCCCAGTCAATTATTCCAGCTGGACGAGGAGGCAGAGAGAAAAGAGCTGTGCGTCGGCCCCTGAAGCTTCTGCCCCCAAGTGCCCCCATCCCTCTGCTCACATAGTGGCCGGAGCGAGTCTGACGTGACGGCGCGGTGGGTGTGACCCGCTGCGGGGACGGTGGAGGTCTGTTTAGCAACCATACACCTGGCCCGTTCACAGCGAGGTGCTCTTTCGGGAGTCGCTCTGAGAGGCTGTCGTGGTGCAGTGATGTTGAAAAGTCTGTGGAGAGCTCTCCAGGGCAAGGGCACTGTGTCATGTGAGGACTGACCCCAAATGGCAGTCCCCAGGCAGATCACCCACCCAGTCCCCAGAGGTAGTTACAAATGATTTTTAGTTCATTTCCCAAAATTAAATCCACCCTCAAATGGTGAAAATTGGCCACCGCTGAGGCTGGTCAAAGGGAGGCACTCCAGGTGACTCCCAGCGAGGGGGTACAGAAATGTCATGAGAAACGGCAGCATCCCTGAAATCGCTGGCCAGCCTCCCCGTGGGCCTCCTGAAAGGGCACAATGCTCAGCTGAAGCAATACATACGAGAAATCATAATACAACGTGTAATGATATTTGAATACATGAAATATAAAGCTATGCATGTATGTGTGTGTGTATAGCATCCCCTGATGTGTTGGTTACAAAGGAAGTCGACATAGTGTCAGGCTCCCCAGCACAGGTCCTGAAACAGAGGCACGAGGACAGAAGGCAAATGGCCTGTGTGGGAGCTTCCCGTGTGCCAGGCACCAATGGGGATGTGGGTTATCTCACCTAATCTCTGCAGCCAGGGCTGGGACCAGGGTGAGGCAAGTGACCGCTGAGGGGCCCAGAACATGAGGAGACAGATGCCGGGTGGGCTGTGTGACCCTGACTGCCGCCTCCTTCAGTTCTGTGTCCTGAGTGCCACGGCCACTCAGCCTAGTCTCGGACCTGCTTGCAACAGCCCTGTGAGGCCGAGACCGTCAGCTCCCTCCACTGCAGAAGAGGAGACAGAGGCATAAGGGGGTTAGTAAGCAAGTAAGCAGAAAGTGGGGAGCAAGGACCGGGACACGGGCAGGAAGTGGGGAGCAAGGATCTGGACACGGGCAGGAAGTGGGGAGCAAGGATCTGGACACGGGCAGGAAGTGGGGAGCAAGGATCTGGACACGGGCAGGAAGTGGGGAGCAAGGATCTGGACACGGGCAGGAAGTGGGGAGCAAGGACCTGGACACGGGCAGGAAGTGGGGAGCAAGGACCTGGACACGGGCAGGAAGTGGGGAGCAGGACCTGGACACGGGCAGGAAGTGGGGAGCAAGGATCTGGATACGGGCAGGAAGTGGGGAGCAGGACCTGGATGCGGGCAGGAAGTGGGGAGCAAGGATCTGGACACGGGCAGGAAGTGGGGAGCAAGGATCTGGATACGGGCCGTTGGACACCCGAGCCTGGGCCCTGGCTGGCTGCACCTGCCTCCATGCCCCGTCTGAAGCTTCGGTGCTTTTCTCTTCCTTTCCAGGTGTCCAAGGCAGCTGCAGACCTGATGGCCTACTGTGAGGCACATGCCAAGGAAGATCCCCTCCTGACCCCCGTTCCGGCTTCAGAGAACCCGTTTAGGGAGAAGAAGTTTTTCTGCGCTATCCTTTAAGTCCTCACTGGGGTGTGACGAGCGCAGGGCTCCCGGGACACTGGTGTAGAGTTTTTAGCCCCGTGGGCGCCTTTCTCGTCCACGGCATTTAGAGAGGGAGAAGAACCATCCTGGCAACTCCAGGCCTGCATGTTTAAGGAACCGGTCCCCTTTGTGAGAGTGAAAGCTGACCCGCGTCCCGAGTTAAGAGAGCTGGCGTCCGCAGAGCTGCCTGGAGGAGGGAACATGTAAAGATAAAATCCGTGTCGTTTCTTTTCTGCTATCCCTCCCCAAACCTTATGTTTCTGCTTCATATTTAAAAAATTAAAATTAAAGCAGACAGCTGTGCCGAGCTCAGATACGTGTGACCTTTTTGGGGTGAACCTCGCCTTTAGAGTTACCTGGATGAGCTGAGTCATCCACTGTGGCCGCGGCCCATTCAATGGCGTTGATGTTTAGTCCCTGTGTCTTTCTTTCCTTTCTCCTCCCCCGTTAGAATAGCACAGAGATAAGGCTGGACTCGCCTGGGGGACTGAACCCCAGGATGAGCACCCCAAGTGTCGAGCGAGATGTCCCCAAGCTCTGTCCTCGTGGGAACAGCAGAGCCAGCGCCAGCTGTCTGTGTCCTTGTCACTGTCCCTAACGTTTGTACAGTAGCTTCGACCCTGCAAGTAAGAGTGAACCGTGTGTTGTGATGGTGCTTTCATATCCGTGTGACAATTTGGGTAATACTGCATGAAAATGTCCCTGTGTTACATCCATTCAGAGGTTTTGCTGTTTTACCATGAAGTTTGGAAAAGGAATGAGAGAGAAAAGAAGCTGGGGAGGAAAAGCCCAGTGTCTTGACCACTGAGATTCCTTCAGAGCCTTAGCAGTGCCGGAACACGTCCTCGTGACAGCGCGTCAGTGCCTCCTGACGTGTTTCCAGACTCCAGAGCACGTGGTTCCATCCAGGATCGGGCAGCACAGGTGCCCAGCAGGAGGGCGAGGGTATACCATGAGCTGGGGTGCTTGTCAGAGCAGAGCAAGCTCCCTTCCCTGAATCGCACGACTTCGAGGTTGTAAGAACGCTCTCTCTGCTCCTCTCGACAGGAAAGCGTGGCCCTCTTTTGCTCCAGTATCGGAGAAATCAGGCCGTGGCTCCCGAGAAGACCCCTCTCAGGAGCCCGTGGTTCGCCTGCCGGCAGGGGTGGCCCCCAGCTCCACAGGCGGGCTCTGGCCCTGCCACTGAGGGGTCTTCATTCTTCACTCGCCACATTTTCAATAGAACCTTCTCTGGGTTTTTGTCCCACCTGTTTATCGGAGTCTCTCAGCCTTTGTTTGCGCCTTCCTTGCCGAGAGCTGTCTCCTCCTTGAGACGATGCTGGAGTGATTTTTCGTCACAGCTCCGGCCTCCATGAGTGACTGGAGGCCTGGAAGCCTTTATCCCTTTTTCTGTGTCATTCCAGGCAAAAGAGGGCTTCTCTTACACCTTGTTGGCTTTGAAACCCCAAAGGACCATTTCCAAACTAATTTTGTTCTCTTTCCATTCTCTTCCTCCTGTTAAAAAAAAAAAGGAATGGAGATGCAGGAAAAGAGAAGGTAGAAAGACTTAACGTGCCCAGGAAACAGGCTTGATAAACATTCCCTCAGCTCCTTTTACGGGCACAACGGTAAAAGAATAAATACATCCAATTAAAGCTCCCGCCCGGGCGGAAAGAAGCGAGGGCCATGTGGTTGGAGAGATGTGTGGGTGCATCTCGTGCAGCCACACTTCTGCACCAGACACTGCCCAGACACTGCAATTCTGTCACAGCTGCCACTGACAAGGATTCAGAGGGAAACACGCTGGCAGAATGTTTGTTAAGCTAGAATGTTGCACCACTGGCTTAGTGACCCTGTGGAATAAGCTACAACTGTGTCACGTTCTAAAAATGAGCCGAGATACGGTTGAACATGCGGTCACCTACAACAGCTGGGAGAGGAGCCCTCTTAGGTCTTTCTTTTTAAGACCTGATGATTTTCATAATCCCCACCAATTTCATGTCCTACAGGATGGAATTATAACACCAGAGTCTTTGTACGAGTTTTGGCTTCTGGTAGTTCTACTTGTTAAGGAGAAAAACAATCTTTTTATTACTTATACCTCTAAAGTTTTAATTCTTTCAGGAACTCAACAATCCTTTTTACCAGGATAACTAACGGAAAACTTAGCTTAATTATTCCCGGCCCTAATCTGTGTATTTAATGTATTGAATAGTAATGAAAATCTACCATGGAATTAGACAGTAACAATAACCCTCAGATTTAGGGGGAAAAAAATCTTGCATTGTCCTCAATATTGACTCTGATTTCTTTCTTTCTTTTTTCAACTTTAGACCAAGTACTATTTAATTTAAGTCAGAAATTGCAAACAAGTCCTTTGAAATGAGGCTCATTTTGCTGATAACATTTGAGGGAGATTGCTTACCAAAGAAGACGGAAAACCATTTGTCCATGTCCTCATTTCCACAGAGGGAATCGCAAGACATTGAGCACACTGGTTCAGGGGGTTTTCTACTTTTTCTCTTTTTTAATATTGCCTTTAGCTGCTCCTGGCGATGCTGAATTATTACATACATTAATGTTTTCCCAGCCCCAAATTGTTCATTTTTCCTATATAAGATCTGTGGGCGTGTCTTTCAAAGAGAGGGAAGCACAGAAATGTTAAAGCAGGAAAACCTGAATGTGATGTGCACATTTTCATCCGACAAGGACAATGTGTTCGTTTTAATAAATGGAATTTTCAGATTCATTTCACGTGCAGTCGATTTTATTGCAAAGGCCTGTGGACAATCTCGCCCGTCGATTCCATGGTGAACTTGGGTGGTTAATAAGGATGATGACACATAACATGTTGGGTTGGGCAACAGGGATCCATGGATTTTCTTTGGGGTTTTGTTAGTAGAGATACCCTAAGGAAGGAAGACCTACGTGAGACTCTTGAAAAACCTTTGTCCCTAGGTCGCTACATCTCAGGCCCAGTGCTTGGGATGAGGATGGGGGAGGGGAGGAGTCAGGCTCCAGCCACTGGACATGAGGACAGGGGAGCTGCATTTAGCTCTGAAGCACTGTGGGTGCACCACACTGGGATTCTTCCTTTACAAAAAATAAAAAGAAGACACAGTGCTGTCCTCCACCAGCTGGTCATGATTAAAAGGGGCTACTGGAGGGGCCAGCCCCGGGCATAGTGGTTAAGTTTGTCCGCTCTACTTTGGCAGCCCAGGGTTCACGGGTTCAGATCCTGGGCGTGGACATACACACTGCTCATCCAGCAGAGGAAGATTGGCAACACATGTTAGCTCAGGGCCAATCTTCCTCAGCAAAAAAAAAAAAAAAAAAAGGGACTACTGGAGAAGATAAATGGTTAGAACTCTAGATTCAGCAGTTCCTCAGAGACATTCTGAATCAAGAAACTCTTCTGTCTGTCCCTCAGAATGTGCCACGGGCAGCGACCCTGTTCATAGAGAAGGAGGCACTGGACCTCCTGGGACTCATGCCTTAAACCTCCGAGGAAGGGGCCCCTGGAGCTTGTGCATTTGTCCACGTACATCTCTGTTCCTCAGACTGTGGTCCATGGGCCACCTGCTCCAGAATCTGCTGGGATGCACCAGCCCCCACCCCAGAACTACTGCAGTGGCACTGGAGTACATGCGCTCCGTTGCGTGCCGCCGCCCGAGGACCACTCATTTAAGCACTTACAACACGCGGCTTTCCACAACGCCACGGAAAGGCACAGCCCGGTGTGAACACACTCGCTCTCAGCAGCAGCAGCGGGACGTGGCTGCCCAGGCGTGAGCGTCCCCCGTGGGCGAGGATGGAGCAGCTCCTGACCGAGACGCTGAGCAGGAGGTGGGGTTGACGCTGCTCCTGTTCTCTGAGTCCCGCGGGAGCACAGCCTCCGGCTCTGGCTCCTTAATGAGCTGGTTGCATTTTAGCCTCACGATGATGACGTGGGAATTGGAGCTGGGTCAGCTCCAATCCACAAACTGCAAATAACCTGCCAAGGGGACTCCCTTTCCCTTCGGTTCTGACCCAAATCTACCTCCTCTTCTCTTTAGCACCGGGAGGCACAGGCAGGATTTATTTTTATGAAGGGGGTCACGGGCTCCTGGCCTCTCCTCAGGAAGAGCGCCTGCCGTTTCTCCGCGTCCATCGGAGGAGAAGCTGGCAGCGGTGCACCCCCAAGGTGACAAGGATGGTGCCCGGTGACCTCGGTCCCCGCCACACACAGAGCGTGGAATGTGAGCGACAGCACGAGATGAGGCCCTGAGCCCCCGTGTGACCTTGCAGGTCCTTGAATCTCTTGGTGGGTCACAAATGGGACAGGAATCCCTGATTCTTTTGTTTACACAGTCGTCAAACCAATGGCATCGGGCAGGTTGGGGGCCCCGGGGAGGACGGAGGTCAGCAGTCCCTGGACGCAGCTCACGCAACTTTGAGGGAGGCGACGTTGAGACGGTCCCTTCTCACCTCCACTCACGTCCTGCCCTCCCTGCCCCACGGCCCCTGTCAGACTCTCGGTGCCTCGGGTCTGCCACACGGCTGCCACACGGCTGGCATGGGCCTCTACTCTCTGCTACCCACTCACCCTGCGTCCTCCTTAACCAGGAATAACCAGGACTCAGTAATCCTTCACGAATCCCAGCTGCCAGCTGAAGAACCCAGAAACAGGTGCCAGCTGCCCGGGCTCAGCCGGATCCAGGTGCTCAGACACGTTGCCGGTGTCCCTCTCGTCCCAGGGCTGTGCTGTCCTGGGCCGGCTTACCCTCAGACAGACTCTTCCCCATGGCGTCAGCTGCAGGCTCACAGCTCAGCATGCGGCAGCCACAGGGAGGTGGCCACAGCTCCAGCCCCATGCCCGGCTGTGTCTTTGCAGCACCTCCTAAGGCTCCTGCGGCTGGACCTGATGCTGGTGCCCACCACCCCCGACCCGGCGCACAGGCGGGGTCACTGTGTCTCACAGGCCGGACAGTGTGCCCAGGAGAGCCAAGTGCTCGCGCTGGAAGAGGAGACACTGAAGGCTCAAGGAAGAACAATGGGAGCCAACCACCAGCCCTCCTTGAAGCACCCCCGGTCCCCATGCCCAGGAACCGAGCGCTCTGGCCCCCGGGCTGCCCCCGCCCCTGTTCCCTCCACTGCTGTAGTCAGGCCTGGGGTCAAGCCCCCGCTGGCCGTGCCTCGTTTCATAAACTCCCTCTGGTTCCTCCTGGGAGCACAGCGTGCTCAGTCCCAGCTCTACATCTTTGCCGTTGCTGGATCCTCCAGTACCAAAATCACGCTCCTTTCTCACATCCCATCTGAGTCCCATGCTGTCTGCGAAGGACTTCAGGGAACACCTCTCTCTCAACTCCTGGTGTCTCGTCTTTAGTCCTTGACTGCATTTGAGATGGTGCTGGGCAGATGCCACGGGCCCACCTCCACGGAGCCGGTGTTTCAGAGGAGGAGGCGCAGTAATGGTCAACGCCAGCCCGATGAGCCGCCCTAGGACACGGACGCTGGGGGAGGAGGGCAGGCGTGCTTCGCCAGCCAGGGGAGGTGGCACCGGCATTGATGCTCACCGTATGAGATCTAGTATAGGGGCAAACGGAATCTCCTAGGGAGAGAGAACTCCAGCTGAACCCGCCTCTTCAACCCTCCTTGGTGCCCAGCATAGCCTGGGGGAGCACAGCCAGTGCTCGGCAGTGACTGCCAGTGGACAGGCACAGGACAAAGGCCTGTAGAGAGGTGGGCCCTGCAGAGGCACAGGAGAAAGATCTGGTCTGCGAGCTTGCCAGAGGCGCTGCCCTAAGAATGGCCAGCAGCGGGCTCCATGCACGGAACGTGGGCCACGCTGCACAGAGTGCGGCCTCCCCTCCCCGACTGGCACCAGCTCCGGCCCCGTGACTTCACCCTCTCCAGCCAGCAGCCCCGTGGCCACGATGACACCATCGCCGTGCAGCCTGAAACTGAGATCTGTGGCCCCACGGGCCCAGGGGCAGATGCTATACATGTGGCCCCAAGGGTCTGTCACCCCCAGGAAAGGACCCCCGCCCACTCTCCCCCAGGAACACAGCTCGTACTTACCCTCCACTGTGTCTACTTAAATTCAGGTGTAAATCAACTAGACTCGAATAAAATTAAAAATTCAGTTCCTCAGCCACACCAGCCGTATTTCAAGTGCCCAGTGGCCACGTGCAGCCAGTGTCTACTGCAGTGGACAGCAGAGACCAGACAGGCCACGGCCACAGGCAGTTCAACCCGTCAGGGCTGCTCCAGAGCGATGTGAGCAACATTTTCACACCCCACGAAACTGACCAAATGCGTCTTCCCTCTGTGCCCGAACACGCACACACACGCGCATGTGCACATACACACGGACACACATGGGAGAAAGGTAAGGTTCCGTGACAGTCTGTAACAATCACCACGGTTGGCCACAGTCATGGTCAGTCGCACAGGCTGTGAACGGAGAGAGGCCATGGATTAGGGGCCATTCCTGGAGCCCTGGGAGCCATAAACGTACACCTGTCTCTCACTCAGGAAAATGCAGAGATGATAATTGTGGTGATGATGACAATAGTAATAAGACGGCGGCAGCAGCAACAATCCAGTGAACTCTTATCAAGCACTCAAGTGTGCGCCAGGCACAACAGCAAACGTTCTGAAGACATCGCTTCATGGAGTTCTCACAACTCCGTGACACAGAGACTGCTTCTCTCCCACCACAGAACCTTCTACGCCTCGTGTCACATCTGTGACCCACTTCTGATTCCAGCTGCAGCTGAGGTGGAGACGTCTGCAGGCCCATCCTGCCAGGAGAAACAATGCCCTGGGGCGTCCCCGCCCTGAGGGATGAGCGCCTGCATGAACCCTCAGGCCCCGCCCCTGGGAGGGTGATTCTGGGCGCAGTCTATGGGGTTTCTCAGAGGGTCCCTGGCAGGACTGAGCCCCAACCGTCCAGACGAGTGATCAGCCCAAGAACACACCACACGGGTTTTCCTCTTTGTCTGTCTCACTTTCTTTCTTCCCACGTCTCGTCTCTGCTTTCCTGGAGCACCCTCGCCGCCAGCCCCAGCAGACTCCCTGCACCCACGCCCTTGACTCAGGCTCTGCTCTGGGGGGGCCTCAAGCTAACTCACCCCATTGTGCAGATGAGGAACTGGAGACGGAGGAAGCTGACATTCCCCCAGCTTCCCGTTGCTGGCAAGCAGGAGATCGAGGGTGGGGACTAGATCTGTCTTGATTCCAAAGATTTTCCTCGTAACTGCTCTCTCTCATGGTGTGAGCTGGAACATGAGGGCGTCAGAGGGAGGCCATAAGGAAGGTTCTGAGTCTGATCCTGTTTGAGGAACAAGTAGGTGGTTTGTAAACTTGGAACCTCTGAGTCTCCTCTCTGCACTGAAGATGTCCGTGAGCCCCTCCTTGTCTCACGTTTCCTTTGCTGCAGTCATTTGGTTCCTGGAAGGGTCTGCCCTGCACAGAGATTTTCCTGCTGTGAAGGAGCCCAGGGAAGGGACCAGGAGGGCGATTCTGACAGGGAATGCCTACAGTGTTTATTTCTTCAGGAACGGAAAATCCCACCCTTTGCCAACTACTGTTCTAGCAACTTCTTCCCTTAACCTCTGAGCCGAGCGACACTCCAAGGGTCAGGAGAGGGTCTGAGAGGCAGTGGATGTTTCCAGGGCCTTCAGCTAAGAAACGAGCAGAGCAGGAAAGAATCTCAAAGACCTCTGCAAGTGCAGTTTCGAGGTCTCGCCAGAGTGTCTCTGGGAA